GAGACTGGCCGGTTCCTTTTAACAAGTGCTACAGAGGCCTATAAGGGACCAACTCCTGATGTAAGCATGCTGCTCCTGGGGTCAGTGTCTTGTTTAATGGCTTGTTTGGTTTGGGAAAAGGGTCTTTGTGATAGTAGAAGAAAGGATGCCAACAAAGACAACGCCAGGGAGCTGCTCCTGAGGGTTGTGGAATACTTCAAACCAGACACACATTACCTGACTCCAGCATTTGGTTTCCTCACCCTTGGAGTTTTCTGTAAGTTTGGAGTATTAATGTTGTTCTTGATGTTTGGTTTTGTTTTTACCCTTTGCATGCAATTATGTCAGCGACTGTGAATGTTTAAGCGACTGCAATTTATTTCATTGATTCTTTTTTTGTTCAATGTCAAATGTTGGCCAAAAATTTAGACCCAAAAGTCTAGAGTTTACCTGTCCATTTTTATATGTAATCAATGGTTAGATCAGTGCATTTGAAGTTGTTGTTGCAGCCTTATCTGTGAACTTTCAATAATCACCAGTGAAGAATCAGTGATTTCCTCACAGGTGACACCTACATCCCACTTTACCAGGGGAAGGTCATTGATATGCTAAGAGGAGAGGAGCTTCACTCCAGTTTTGGTTATGCCATTGCACAGCTGGCACTTGTGTGTTTTGGAAGGTAATGAGAAAATTTAACTTTTTCCCATAGCACGCCTGCCTTGCAAGCAAAGGGCAGAGATTGGATAAAAGCATCTGCTAATTGTCAATGTAACAATAATTTTCACAGTGCTTTGTTCTCTGGCCTGAGAGGAGGCTTCTTCATGTTCAGCCTGAACAGACTGAACAAGAGACTGAAGCATCTGCTTTTTCACACCCTTCTGCAGCAAGAGGTGAACTTCTTTGATGACAACAAACCTGGTGAGAAGATCACAGAAAGTATAAACTGGTTAAAACGTTCTTGTGGCAATATGGATATATACAGTAGACATTTCTCTTTTTATTTTCCCAGGGGAGCTCTCCTCTCGTCTACACGAGGACGTAGACCTTATGGGTCGCACAGTGGCGTTGAATGTCAACGTGGTTGTCCGCAGCGTAGTCAGGACCTGCCTAATGCTCAGACTGATGTTAGGTCTGTCCTGGCAACTCACTCTTCTCACATGTATAGAGATGCCATTCTTGGCCATCATTCAGAATAAATACAATACTTTATCTAAGGTAGGTGTGGAATATGGATGTAGAACTTAAACAGAACTTAAACCTGTTACATCCTGATTTTTAGTGAGTGAGTCCTGGTGTTTATGGTCAAACAGGAGCTGAAGGACCAGCTCAGGGACTGTCAAGCTAGGATAAAAAAACTGGCTACGCAGACCATCACTGGCATCCGAACAGTTCGCAGCCTTAGAGGTGAGATGGAAGAACTGAAGAGGTACAAACAGGCTGTGGACCAGATGTCTTCCATCAAGAGACGGTCAGGGTTCACCAAGGCCGTCTTCCTCATTTTAAGAAGGGTGAGAAGACAGTGCTGATCATCTGGAGATAAACCACATAGAATGCAGAAGATAAATGAGTTGATGAAATCCTTCCATTGTTTCTTTTCCTGTTTAATAACAGATTTGACCCTTTAGATCGTTTTAAAGATGTAACAACCTTTCTGACCACAATAACTCTCAGTAATCATGTCAATCAACCTATTTTTGTAATAATGTCAGAAGCATGAGCTAAAGGCAACATTAATTCGTTTTATTATTTACTGATTTAGAGAGCACTGCTCATGTCCCCAGTTGTTCTTAGATAAATAATTGTTTGACTTCCATGTGAATATTTCCCTCTTTTCTAAAACAGCTGGTGAGTCTGGTGATAAATGTTTTGATGCTGGTGCAAGCTCACAACCTCATCTCCTCGGGACAACTCAGTGTCGGAAGTCTGGTTTCCTTCATCCTATACCAAAAACCCATGTCTGTGAACTTAAGGGTGATGGCAGTTTTACATATAATGTTTCAATTAGAAGAGAAAAAACATGTAAGGAAAAAGGTTATTCTCACACAGACTTTTTCTTTTTCTTTTCTAACAGGAGATTCTGTTAGGCTACGGAGGAATCGTGTCCACAGTTGGAGTCATCGCCAAAGTGGTTAGTTATCTCGACAGGACGCCAAAGTGTAAGAAGGCTGGAGACTTGGCTCCAGAGAATCTGCAGGGAAGAATTGATTTCCAAAATGTCACCTTCAGCTACCCTTCAAGTCAAGATACAGTAGTGCTGAATGTAAGGGTTTGATTCCTTTTTCTCTGCATAATCATTGTGGTTGTGTAATTCTATGAAACATGGCTTATTCTTCAATTGAATAATTTCATCAAAAACATCTGATCTTCAGTCAGTGTCCATGCAGCTGCAGCCTGGAACCATAACAGCCCTCATCGGTAGCAGTGGCAGTGGAAAAACATCCTGTGTCAGCCTCCTGAAGAGGCTGTATGAACCTGGAGAGGGGCAGATCCTGCTGGACGGACAACCTCTGCACCAGTACGACCATCAGTACTTCCATAACAAGGTAGAGCCCACTCAGTAGAAAGAAAGAAATCACTTATCACTGTTGACCCTGACAAATCAGATCCAGAGAAATAACTAGAACATGTGGACGGAGTAGGTTTTTTTTTTAAAGACGTTTCATCTCTCATCCAAGAGGTTACTTCAGTTCTTCAGCCTCTTGAATGAGAGGTGAAACATCTTCAAAAGACCAATTCCATACAGTTGCCCTCGATGTAACTATTTTTGGATTAAATTACCTGGATGACTGAGAACCTACACAGACAAGTAGAACATGAGGTTGAATCAGTAAAAGTAAGTAAACAAAAGACTATAGTGTATTTTACAACATTCTCAACATTAAATATATGCTTTACATGTGTCTGAAAGTGCTTAAGTCACAAAGGTTTTTAGGGTTTTATAAGTTATTTATTTTATGATAGAGTGATTAAAGAAAAGCCTGGAATTTACATTAAAGATGGAAAAATAAAACTGTGATAAATAAAGTAGAAAACTCACAAACTTAATCACTTACGTCACTACTTACTTTCTTCATTTACACAACCCTTCAGGTGGTCGTGGTTTCCCAGGACCTTGTGCTGTTTTCTGGTTCACTGAGATCCAACATAGAATACGGCCTGAAGGACTGCAGCTTTGACAAAGTCACAGAAGCTGCCAAAAAGTCCAATGCCCACGACTTCATATCAGAGCTGGAGAATGAGTATGACACAGGTACAGTGAGCAGTGTTCACGAAGTGGACTGAGCCCTGCTGGTTTTTTTAACTGTAGAGAAGAAGCTCAACTGTTCAACTTTAACAACAACCTGTTAAAAAGGCCCAAAGGCAGGTTTGGTGAAATGGTCAAGTGTTAATATAAGTTGAAACCATGACAATGTGTAGAAAAATATTGACTTATGATGTCTAGTTTAACATCTATGTTTAGTCAACTATAATTTTGTTCATTTCCCCAGTAATATTCTTTCTATTTTCGTATGCGCACGGATGGATAGATAGAACTTTATTAATCCCTTGGGAATTCCCTTGGGGAAATTATACATGTCAAGTATTTCTGCAAATAAGCTTTAAAGGTACATTATTGTCTTCATAGATATAGGAGAACGTGGGTGCAAACTGTCAGAGGGACTGAAACAGTGCATCTCCATCAGCAGAGCTCTGGTCCGAGATCCACAGGTTCTGATCCTGGACGAGGCCACCAGTAAACTGGATGTTGAAATACAGCATGCTGTAAGTACTACATGGTGGCACTAAGGCTGTCCCACACTGTTGTTGAGTTAAAATATCTCCACTGAACTGAGTTGAACACATTGTAATTCTGAGACAAAATGCTAGTTTCATTGAATGAGGGAAAGACATTGACATAAATGGGCTTTTCCCCCCACCTTGGCACAAATAAAGAACTTATTAAAAATGAGATGTAATTGCCCTGCTGCACCCACTTTCCCCCACTGCCCTGATGACAGAAGAACATTATTTTATGTATGTACGTTACAGGTGAACACCACCTTGGAAATACTTGGTATTTTATTGGTCGGAACTGTATTTACTGTATGCCTCAGGTCCTGCAGGAGATTGTGTCCTGTGGCTGGACAGTCCTGATGGTAGCTCATGATCTGAAGACTGTGGAGGAGGCACATCACATCATCTACATGGAGAGAGGGACAGTGGTGGAGGAGGGTACGCATGAGCAACTTATGGCCAAGAGAGGGCGCTATTATCGTTTGAAAATGTTCTCTGAGTGACAACACTCGGGGCAGTTTTTAGTACCTACAGTGGGAATTACACACCAAGACATGTTTTCTATTGTTGTTGCTCTGTCTGTTAGACAAAAGTATATACACAGAATGTAAAGTCACCAGGTTAAAGGTGTGAATGGGGGGGGTGATACCATAGCTATGGAAACACTTTTCCTTAACTTACTTTTTTCAAAGTATGCAGCCCCTTTGATGCCAAATACCAGAACTTTCCAGTAGTCAGTCAGAACTGAAGAAGCCTCTTGGATGAAACTTTGTCTTCAACAAAACCTACTCTGAGAACCTACACAGACATTTATCTCTTAATGTTATCTTTGATCGGATTAACATCAAATACATTTGTGTATCAAAGTGTAACTAGGTTGTTTTTTGTGCCGTGATACGCTGGCATAATGTGTATATATACCACATATCACCACATATTATTTCTTCAGCATCAGCTGCAGTTACCTTTTTAATGCCATATGTCAAATGTGCTGTGCTATATTTCAATGTATTGTTTCCTGACTTTTAGTTGAAATCTTTTCTTATATTTTATAATAATATAATATAATTTGTGCTGCTACATCTCAAATTAGTTTCTGGTTTCTACCCGCAAAAAACTCAAAAGGTAATTTCTGTTCATCAGATTTTTGCCAAAAGATACTTTTTATTGTTCATATACACAATAATAACAATACAAAAAAAATATCCAAACAAAACATAAAAACACTTATGAGAAGCTCAATGCCAATTTAAAATATATCAATGCACTGACCTGACACATTCTTAGGTATACATTGCCAGAGACACCAGACACTGCCCTCCTGTGGGAGCAGCGAGGTAAAGCACTACCAGGTTGCATTCGGATGCTGTATTTTCAGTATTTTGATCAAGTACTGTGGGGCGGTGAGTTTTTCCTAAAATACAGAACTGTCTTTTTTTATTACTACTGAGTTTCTAGGCTAAATGCCCGAATTGATAACAAAATGTTTTTGTTTGTTTGTGTTATACAGATGACTACAGAAAATGGTACTGTGCAACCCCTGTAGTTACATTATGTTCTGTCAGGTGGGTCTCTCTCGTACAGGTCTTTTCTAGACGTCATAATAAGTCCCATGATTTGCTCTTTTACAGCTTCCAGTCATGTATTGTTATGACTCAGTTGAGCGTGTAGTACTTTGACTTAGTACTTGTATCTAACCAAACAAACCAGTCAGACTTTGAAATGGAAGTCATGAAAGAGATGTACAGGAACGTAATCTTGATAATAGCAGTTAAGAACAGATTCAGGTTACCCTCAATCACAACAACAATCACAATTACTCTGTAAGTACAGGATGAGTTTCATGCCGATAGCTATGAATGTAACAATGTCACAATCCGCAGTGGGATGTAAAAAAGACAAAATAGGGAGTCCCCAAAAGGTTCCAAAACTAAATTAACCTTCCTCTGGTGTTCGGGTCGGCACCGACCCGTTTCCAAGTTTTAAATGCACTTGAATATGTAAATTAGTTTATTGCGTCAAGGCTTAAATTAAATGTATTAAATAAATTATTTTATTGCGTCAAGGCTTTTTGACTTTGTCAAGAACCTTTATTTCATCAAAATATAACAAAAATTTTTTTCACTAAATTATAAAATTCAAAATAAAACAAAAAAATTTTTCACTAAATTATAAAATGCCCTGGTTGAAATTATGACCTTTGTTGTTCGGGTCGGTTTCGACCCGGTTATAAAAGTCAGCTTATAAAGCAATAATTAGAACCAAAACTTAAATCATAAGTGCATTGTCATCCAAAACACTGACACACAGCTCCTCTCCCAATCATGTTAGCTTTAGGGGATGCTCATTTCGCCTTGTTTTCCAGTATTCCTGCACAAAAACAAAACAAACAAAGACGTGCATGTCCAGACATGTTACATCGATTCCACTCATTTGAGTGGTCATTTGACTTGCAGAGTGCACATGGGGCACAGTGAAGAAAAATAAACCTGAGCTACCTGCTGAAATCTTGCAGGTGAAGGACAGGGCTCCACTTTCCTCAAAGTTTGCTTTTACAGACACCACCACTGTTGTCTCATATTGTCCAAAAAGAAAACGGAATGTGATACTTATGTCGACTCTTCACAAAGATGCAGCTGTGTCATCAGGAAGTGACAAAAAGCCCACAATCATCCTCGACTATAACAAAAACAAAGGAGGAGTGGAGAACCTGGACAAGCTGACTGCCACCTACACTTGCCAGCGAATGACCAGGAGATGGCCAATGGTTGTGTTTTACAACATCCTTGATGTGTCTGCATGTAACGCATTTATGTTGTGGACCCACATCCACCAAGGGTGGAACTCAACCAAAAAAGTCAAGCGGAGAATGTTTCTTGAGGAGCTGGGAAATTCCCTTGTCAAGCCACACATTGAGTGAAAGGAACAGTTGCCCAGAGACCCAGACGCTGCCGCCTTGGTCAGACAGCTGCAGAGCTCACCTTGCACTCCGTCCACGCCCTCAGCAACACAAAGAGCATCCACAACAGCTTCCTCCTCAGTCAGCCCTGTCTCAACACCAACCAGAACAGCCACAGCCACAACCCCACTCAGGCCACCTGATTCTAAAAGAAAGGTGTGTCAAGTCTGCCCAAGCAGTAAGGACAGAAAGACAAACGTATTGTGCTTCAAGTGCAAGAAATATCTCTGCAAAGAACACACTAAAAGTGTCACTTTTTGCCACACATGCATCTAAACACACACACATACACATGCATGTTCTTGCACACAGAGACTTTTACTCTGATTTGGTATTTTGGTTTGATTTGCTGGATTGGTTGTTGTTTGTTTGACCTTGTTTGAAATCTATATTTTGTGTTATGACCTGTCAATTTTTAAAATCTATATTTTGTGTTATGACCTGTGAGACCAGTGAACGCAGCAATGTACAAACAGGTGAGACAGATTGGGCTAATGAGCCAGGGTGAGTCAGACAGAACGATATGATAACAACAAACACTCGACAAACTTTCAGAGGAATTTAAATTATTTAAATGTCATTCGAAAGCATTTCACAGTTGGCTCGGTGCCTATAGTAGCGCCACCCGCAGGCCCGTAAACGACGCTGAATTATAGGGTTGGCCACGAAATGCACATAACAAAAGTGTTTCCTGTGAGTGGGACCGCTTTCTTTGTCAACCCCACAGGACTCTTCTCCGCAATCCACTCGTAATTATTGTGGTAAAAACGTAGCGGAGCTGCTACAAGCCATGATTCCACACATTTTGTCGTCCTCCGCCGTAGTTTTCCGCAACAAAGGGATTTTAAACGGAGCTGCAAAACGTTTACGCGGACCGTGGTTTTGCCGGAGCAAAGTTCCAGCAGCAGCTTCTCGGTGAGTTTGTAACGAACTCATTTCCACTCATTTATGTGTCTGTCTTTGACTGCTGTGCATAGATAGTCTATGCTGCTGTTGTATTTTTGTGCAAAAATGCATTCGACCCGTGTTTGTTCGTGTTTTGTTGACATGCATTTAATACAATACGACGCATCTTCTGCTGAATACGTCACTCCTATAATTGACTATTCCTAATCAAAATTAAAATGATTTAAGACAGTTGCACAAGTATATTGGTTTGTTCTGTGTATAGAATAGAATGGTCTTTATCGTCTTAGTATTATTGTATACATACATACTGTAGATATGCACTCAGTTGCTACTAATTTGCATTTCCTTTGTTGGTACCGCTGAGTATTTGCGAAATATTCAGCTTTACATGTTGATTATGAAGACGTTATTAATTCAGCACAGACCCCGTGGTTGGTCAAGGCAACACATAGTCCATGTTTGATTATGACTGAAGAAACACTGACACAATTACAGTTAACATAGTTCCAGTATTTAGTCTGACAGTATAGTAGAGGGCAACAAGCCAAGATGTATTTATGCAGTGCTGTGCACCAGATCATCATCCAGGTAAACTGGAACTGAGTACTGACTACTGTTTGACTTAAATGTTGACTTAAAGAAGAACACACTTCAGTAGGTAGTGTAGCGTTTATTTCCAGAGACAGGGAAGTGGCATTGGTCTGTGTTTTCATGTTCAGTATAAATTTCACTTCCATGCTCTGGATCGCTGCAGGCAGTGCTCGATCTGGGTGAAAGGTCACAACAGAGATAATACTATCTGTATGGTTGTGGGCTTTTTTATATAAGTAAAAATATCTCAAGAAGTGGAAAATACTGCACGAGATCCAAATCCAAAAATAGTTCCATGGAAAGCAACTGGACAAAGTAGGTTTTTTTTAAGACGTTTCACCTCTCGTCCAAGAGGCTTCTTCAGTTCTGACTGACCACTGGGAAGTTCTGGTATTTAGCCTTCAGGGGGCTACATACCTGTAACGAGGGTCGTTGCAGAAAGGGGGGATGGAGGTGTGGTGAAAGCCACCTTATTCTAAGGAGGGCAAAATGTAAAGTCACAAGTTTAGAGGTGTGAATGGGGGGTGATACCATAGCTATGGAATAATAGTTTCACCTGAGCAACACTTTTGACTTGGTGTCTTTGAAATAAAACTGTGGTCTTGTTTTCAGGGAGGGGGTTGAATTTTTTGGGGAGAGAACTTAAGTAGAACTTAATATGGTCGTGTCTCAAACCCCCTCCTCTGTTGAGGGATGGTTTCTCCAGATCATCATTGTACTGCATATACAACGTTGCTCTGTTTGTGGTGAGGTGTTTAGTCCTTTGGATGAACCAGTCTTTGTCTGAGGGTGTTGGTTTTTCGGAGGTCCTGGCAACATAAGGAGGTGTACAGTAACTATTCTTTGTTTTTTGTTTTGTTTTTTCACAAAATGCAAAGGTCAACTTAATTTTACTACTTTAATTATTTCAATGTGCATTTAGTCCTTGTCCATGTTTACTGTAGCTAGATTGTTGATTGATTGACTCAAATTGTAAGGCGCTTTGGATTAAAGTGTCTGCTAAATGTATTCTAATGTAATATTTAGAAAGGTTATATGTTTATAAAGACAGACTTAACTAAAGTAAAAAAAATACAAATAAATTAGTAAAATTGTAAAAACACTGGCATTATTGCTGAGGAAGAAAATGATTTAATCCTATAGAAATACAAATGTAAAAAAAGTAAAAAAGAAATGTGCACATCCTTAGAAAATCTTTATTACAGTAACTATTAAAATGTAGAAACATTTCTACCATCCAAGTAAAGCAGAGGCTCAGTGTTGTTGTATCCCCGTGGTACAATGACAATACAGACAATACAAAAAAAAAATAGATGATAAACTAACAATGTAATGAAATATCACATTAGCCCCCAGTCTAGACTTTGGACCTGATTGACAGACAGATTGAGAGCAGGTTTATTGACCAACTATTCAATGTCAATGCAACACTTTTTAAGACTGGAGAAAATGTACGTCATTTAAATCAGCCAGACAGAATTTGTAGATAAGTAACCCTGTTTCACTTCTGTCCATCTCCCAGTCACATCCATGTGGACTACCCTCCCATCATCCCCAGTCTCACCACCAGTTATGCCCACGGCACCTCGTCCACGACCCTGCTTCACACCACGGTAGCAGAGTCTCTCCTGAGGACTGTGGAGAAGGTTCCAGACCGAGAGGCGGCAGTATTTGTGCACGACGGTATCTCCAAGACCTTTGCTCAGCTGCAGCACGATGTGAGTTCTGTCTTATGACGCAGCAATAGCTGAATTCTTACAGCACAACGATGTTCAAGTTGAACACAATACATTGCTTGTTGTAATTCAACTTTTATGTCATAAATGTTAGGATTTTTGGACAAAAATAGTTCTAAATATTAATACAAATCTAAAAACAGAGGTGTGTCACTGTGCTACTATTTTGTTGGTTTGGTTGGTTTGTTATTGGAGCCATATGTAGCCTGTAGCACTCACTCTTTTATTTAAAACACAACATTTCCAGAACCAATTAAACACTAGAATAATTATTTTGGAGTATGAGCTTTCACATTTTATAAGACTTTTGCACATTTTAGGAATGTCAGTATACTGTGTATTTAATACTTTACTTCATTATTGTTTTTTTAATGCTGTGTTGTTATCTTTGTATTCACTGTAAGGTGTCCTTGGGTGACAGAAAGGCGCCTATGAAATAAAATGTATTATTAATGTGTATTGCTGACGTATAAGAAAATGATTTCAGTCAAAGATTTTTACCTTGTTAGGTATTTTGCTTCATAATATATATTTTTCCCACTGGGACTAAATGTCTTAGTCCAGTTAATATTAGTATTACAGAAGTTTGTCCACACACTGGAGTAGGTCAAAGAAATCCTATTAAATGTATAACTTTTAGAGACAATCATTACATGAAGTGACTCTGTCCAGGATGTTAACTGAGTTATTGTTTGTTTCGGAGGTGTTTCACCTCACTAAATGTCAACCATCTACCAATCATTTATACAGAACACTTGTCTACGGTCACAGTTTGACATCTACAGGAGCAGTGACAGGTCAACCACTGACTTTTTATTTGTTGTGCACTGGGTTGAACTTAGATAAGGTCTGAAACCTGATGTATAAAGTTGCTTCTTTTCAGTTTTGATATTTTACATAGATCAGAGCATGAGGTTCTTCACCTCTGTTCACTTATTAATATTTGACATGGATTGTCTCCGTAGGTGGATCAGGTTGCAGCTGGACTGCTTGCCATTGGCTTGAAGACGGGTGACAGGCTTGGAATGTGGGGACCCAACACTTACGAATGGCTGCTGATGCAGTTTGCAACAGCCAAAGCAGGCATCATACTGGTGAGTCAGAGCTGGAGCAGGCTCTTAACCATAACATGAACAGTCTGATTAATTAACCAAACCATCAGTCAACACTTTCACCACATCTATCTGCTGAATGATGACAATGATAACATACATGAACCATATAACAGAATAAACACCTTTACCTACCAATCAGTACCAGTGAAATCCCTTCAATCAATGTGTGCATTCATATTTGTTTTATTGTGTGCCTGTCAATCAGGTGGCTGTGAACCCAGCGTACCAGCTGCTGGAGGTGGAGTTTGCACTGCGCAAGGTTGACCTTCTTTTATTGCAACTTTTATGTAATTGCTAGGCCACAAAAATGTTACATCATAGGTCCGAGGCTATTCACTAACCCTCTGTGTCTTTCACAGGTGGGCTGTAAGGCTGTTGTGTGTCCAACACAGTTCAGGACTCAAAAGTACTGTGAGATGCTACGAAAACTCTGTCCAGAGATTGAGACATCAAGTCCAATGGACATCAAGAGTGCCAGGTAAAGAGGCAGAGGTCTTTGTTTTGTTATTCCACACAAAGTGACACGTCAGCAATTTCATGTTAAATAATAAAGGGGTTAATATTTAGAGTCAGGTCTCCAACTACCAACCACAGAATCATACATCACCCAGTCAGACAAAACCAGACAGACGGATAGATAGACAGACAGATAGACGGATAGATAGACAGACAGACAGACGGATAGATAGATAGACAGACAGACAGACAGACGGCTAGATAGATAGACAGACAGACAGACAGATAGACGGATAGATAGACAGACAGACAGACGGATAGATAGATAGACAGACAGACAGACAGACGGATAGATAGATAGACAGACAGACAGATAGACGGATAGATAGACAGCCAGATAGACGGATAGATAGATAAATAGACTATGGTGCAGAGTAAAGTATTTTTTATTATTATTGGTAAATGGCAAATTATTTAAATAATTGAAAGAAAAACAATTGAAAATACATTTTAAAACAAAAAAACCTAAAGTGTCAAGTTATTCATGTCTTCTTGTCACAGCCCAGATGTGGGGGGTTTGCAGGCTGGAAGGCCTTGAGTTTGAGAACTCCGCTTTAAGCTGTTTCATATGGAAGGACAATGGCAAACACTAATGATCTTATTTTGGACTTGAGAATAGAGGAGTCGATGTGTGGAAGGAGGATGTACTAATCTTTTGACAGCAATAAATAAACCGTAGTGAACATAGAATCAAGACCTGTAAGAGGTCCACACCCTAAAGTGTAGGGTGTGGACCTCCTGAAGGTCTTGATACTATTGAGGGGTTTTCAAGGCCATAGAGTAACTGTCAGTACATTTCCATCCATCTTGGAAGTTAAGTGGCAAAACCCTGGTGCAGCTCCAGGTCATGTTGGAATCCTGCAGCACAGAGTGAAGTCTGCTAAAGACCTCCTGGAAAAACATTACAAACTTTGAAAAAAAAAATAGCTAGGTTTATGAAGTACTCTCTCACACATTTGTGCCTCTATACACACATACTGTATGTGCAGTGACAAAGAACACCTTGAATTGAACAGTAAAGTACATCATGACGAGTTTTGGCTGAATGCTAACTAGTTTGTTAACAACAAACATTTTAACCAGCATATTTTGTGGTTTTCCCTGCAGGCTTCCAGATCTGCGCACTGTGGTTGTTCTGGACAGCCGACAGCCAGGAATGCTCCATTTTGACGACGTAGTTCAGGCGGGCAGCAGCGAGTTCATGCAACAGCTGCAGGCTCTGCAGAGGAAGCTCTCATTTGACGACCCAATAAACATCCAGTTCACTTCTGTGAGTGGGAAGGTCATTTCTGCAAAGCAAAACACTACCAAGTGTTTTGATCAAACAAAAAAATGATGTTTGGATCTTTTTCAGGGTACAACTGGGTACCCAAAGGGTGCCACCTTGTCTCACCACAACATTGTCAACAACGCTTACTTTGTGGGCAAAAGAATGGGCTACAGCTGGAGGGTAAGTGATGAAAGAAAATTTTAAAAAAATCACCATAAAACCCTGATGCTGTTTTTCCTTCTCTAACTTTTAGCTATTGGATTGTGTTTTTTTTTTTTTTATTCTCTCCAGCCTCAGCCTCGTATCTGTCTGCCTGTGCCGATGTACCATTGCTTTGGCTCAGTGGGTGGTGGCCTCTGCATGGCCGTCCATGGCATCAGCCTGGTCTATCCTTCACCTGGTTACGACGGGAAAGCCAACTTAGCAGCTATGGAGAGTGAACGGTAAAAATCCAGATGGATTGGTGTTGACTCATGAATCACAAATGTTTAAACCAGGGGTATCAAACTCAATTTCACAGTGGAAAATTAAAAACTGGGATAAAGTCATGGGCCAAACTCAATATTTATTGAAAAATTAAAAATGAACTGCAATTATACATGTTTTTCCTTCTCTCCAGATATATAATGTAGATTTTTTTTTCATATGGAAACAATCTTTTTAGTTTTGTGTAAACATTAAATCTGGAACAACCAAAGCTTAATATTATAAACATCCATCCATCCATTTTTATCCGTTACCGGGTCACGGGGGCAGCAGTGTCCATGACCGCCACCCAAATCACACTGCACCGTACCAACCCCCCTGAACCTTCCTGAGGGTGGTGAGTCCACTGGAAGGTACCAACCAACCTAACCGGGATTCGATGTTGCCCAGGAGGTGAACCCTGTGTAATGCCTGGTCAGCTTTAATACAAATTTCATATGATCTCACGGGCCAAATATAATTACATCAGGGGCCAGATTTGGCCCACGGGCCTGAGTTTGACACCTGTGGTTTAAACATACAATAATTATAGTGGTGGACTGTCCGTACTTACTTTACTTACCTACTTACTTAGTTCCCCCCCCCCCCCGATAATATTACTGCATATTCTATCTCAAGATTACCATACGACCCAATCAACTCAATTTTATTATGTAGCTTTTAACAATGTCAGAAATGAAAACACACCAAATAATGTTAACTAAAGGTAATTTCACCACTAGTTGTTGCTAAAACGTAAACTGTACCTTTAACCCTTGTGTAATGTTCATA